ATTCCCCACTCATTCATTTCTTTTTTTAGAAAAAAAAATCACTTTCACATTGGGAAGCAAACAAGCCTTATTTGTTTCTTTTTTGGGAAAAAGAGGGGGCGCTGTAATCAACGAAGACGTGCATATTAAGTATAGTCGATGGAATTAAAATTAGAAAGACTTGTTCGTCCGCTCCTTGTATAGATAAGTCAGAGAGAGAAAGGGGTGAAGGCGAGCGTGTGTGTATGTGTGTGAAAGAGAGAGAGGGTATGTGTGTGTGAAAGAGGGAGAGGGAGAGTATATGTGTGACTCTGTGTGTGTGTGTGTGTGTGTGAGAGAGAGAATGTCTGTGTGAAAGAGAGAGAGAGAGAGAGGAAGAGCATGTGTGTGTGAGAGAGAGAATGTGTGTGTGTGAAAGAGAGAGAGTATGTGTCTGTGCGTGAGAGAGAGAGAGTATGTGTGTGTGTGTGTGTGAGAAGAGAGAGATTATATATGTGTGTGTGTGCGTGAGAGATAGAGTATGTGTGTGTGTGTTTTAGCGTGACAGAGAAATACAAATGGTCGAAAAAGAAGGCTGGGAAAGACATTAATCCATCTCCCTGCCCCTCCACCCCGTCCCTCCATCCTGTTAGTTCTGGGTAAATTCTGGGGCAGACTGTGCTATGTAGCCTATCGCGGTAAGGAAACCATTCTGAGTAAAAAGCAAGGTAAACCATTCCACTACATTTCTCTATATAACTGTCATTGCAACTTAAAATAGTAAAGAAATAAAAGCTGTGGAGAACCATGACTGCTTACACCCCTATGAAACATAGCTTTTTGAAAAAGAGAGAGAAAAGGAATAAACGTTTGTCATAAAGAGAAAGATAAAGAAAAACACCCCCCCCAAAAAAAAAGGGCGAGAAGAAAACGAAAATGATTCTGTTGATTGGTTGCGTTTGGTTTAAAACTCCAACAAGAGTTTCAGAAAAAGTCTATAATTGAAGGTTAAGTAGTTACAAGAAACACACACACACACACACACACACACACACACACACACACACACACACACACACACACACACACACACACACACTCGTGAAATTTCCATGGGTGTTAAAAAATATTTATAATCTAATGCATCTACTTTTCTCTCATATTTTGCCTGTATCTTCTCATTATTGCCCTCATCTTTTCCAATCTTCCTTGCCTATCTACGTCTTTATCTAAATCATGTACAAACATTGATTAGTTTAATAAAAGGAATGAAGAAATCTTTTTTGGTAAACATGGACCTTTGTGCCCGCACAAAACAAAACTAAAAACGCCAAAAGGACAGTTTTTCCCTTGACACCGCTTTTATTTTAACTACCTTTACTCCCTCGGCAATGTTTATTGTTTTAAAAAGCGATGATTATCATTCAAATAAAATATAATATGAAGTGAATTTTTACATTTTTTTGTTCTTGAGAATTAACAAAAATATTAAACACTATTATATTGTTTATAGGAATGGTTGAAAATTTAATTGATTTAAACTTTATATAAAGTAATAAATAATAAGGATTTACTTATGGTTGATTCACATATTTTAATAATTTAGTAAATGTTTATAAAAATTATGAATAAAAAAAACTGACAAATTTTATTTTGATTTCTCGACATTAAAAAACAACATTTTAACATCCCTACTTACCCTTCAATTTTTCACTCATTGCCTCTTGATATCAAACCAGCGAATCTAATCTTTTTTCTTTCTTCTGAATGAAAACGAGAAATTGAGTAGAAACACCAGGATCTCGCCCGGGAATTACGAAAAGTGCTGAACTGTGTCAAAAACGTTATATTTAAGATGGGATGAATTAGGAATTCAATGAAAGGTTGAGATTATCGAGACCACCACATTGCTAGGATGTGCAAAGATATGAGGAGGCTTGCTGTCACTTAATCCCCAGCAATAACCATCAATCATCTGGTGTGAACATGCAAATATATAACATATAAAAATAATAGACACAGAGCCTTGCAACAATTGTTATTAATACAGAATATTAATAATAATTGGAAAACATGTGGCAACAGATAGAATTGAACTACACCAAATAGCAAGCCTGGTAGCGCATTAAGCTCAAATGACCGCTACAAATATTTTGGTTTACTTGAATGTAATTCCATAAGGAAGGACGAAATGAGGGAGCAAATAAGAAAGAATTATTTCAGGAGAACTAAACGGATTTTAGAAATAAGATTAAAGAAGAAATTTAATAAATGTGATGAACCTTTGAGGAATATCAATAGTGAAATACGCAAATCTGCTCCTAGGCTGGACTAGAAAGGAATTGAAATTGGTGTAGCGATGGACTAAGAATATATAATAAAGAAAAGTCCAAAAGACTTATATTTTCGACTTCAAGTTTAAGAGATACACCGCTATTCAGATGCAGAGCCATTTTTGCATAATCATTAACTTCTTAGTCGATCGTTACATCAATTTCAATTCCTTTCTAGGAATGAATGAATAATGATTGCATTGTTGAATTGGGCGAGAATATAGAGCATGTTAGAGATTTAAGAAGACTTGGTGTCATCTGGTCACCAAGTTTTTCTGGTGTAATAAAAGAAGGATAATTCTATAGATAAACAAAAAGAATTTAAACAAAATGACATAGGAATGGTCGCACAAAGGACATTTAAAAAGGGAAACAAAGTCATTATTAATAGTATCCCAGAACAAGTGCATAACAACGAGCTGGATGAAAGACAAAATGGAAAAGAGTCAAGAAAATAGAATGAGTGAAATACCAATTTCCGCCCTGGGTTTTATTCTGAAATTGTTGGATTATTAGTATGACACTAACACCTGAACAACCCGTTTTGAATACATGTCCAAGATCAGTTGTAATAACTCGGCTAGCCATTTCGCTGAACAGGGATAATATGTTTATGGGTTTTAGGCCGGGATCGTAACGAACCTATTAGTCTAACGACTTCATAAATGTCCGCTGGAAATAAGTTATCTTTCAATAATTTGAGGAGACGTTTTTCTGAAAATTTACTTCGATAGTTTTAACGACTTCACCGGTCCCAATCTAATAAATATATCCTGGTCATCCAAAATTGACATTTTGTTAACGTAGTCATCCCGATTCAAAATTACCAACCAGACCCTTTGTCTAGTTTAGTGATTACTATAGATTTAGCGCAACATGAACAATTTAGCACACAAAACTGCTCGCTGTGTCTTGGAAACACAGATCGAGTAATACGAGAACCAGAAAAGGCATGAACCAGATTACTTAATCTTGTGCTAAGCGCACTGAGTTTGTCAGTCGAAACAGGAGCCAACATTAGGAGTTGAGCAAAAAAAAATCAAAAAAAATCCTCAAACTCTGAAAATATAACATCTCGTTTGACACAACCTTGTGGAACAGAAAAAAAATCGAGCTAATGTAATGATATACAATTCAGCAGTTGTCCATTGATAATTTTAATTCTTTTACGAATTAGAAAACTGTCACATCTGATGAATATTACTAGTGCTGATTAATCTACAGTCGTCAAAATTGGCAAGGAATTTCACAAAATGAATATTGCCGAAAAAAGACAAAAATCTTTTCGCATAACAATAAAAGGATCAAAACTTACCTTTAGCATTGAAAATAGTGTTGGTGTTTCATTTGCAAACACACGCTCAATGGAAGGACTGCAGTTCAGTTTATCTCTGGCGATTCGAGCAGAGATATAAGAGCGAGAGAAAGTTTATGTTCAGGAGTCTTTTAAATTCTTTTTTTTTTGTAATCAAGCCGATTTTATTTAGATTCTTTTTCTTTCCATGACTTTTTTTTAAGTAGATATGTTGAACTGTCATAATAGAAGTTCTGCCAGGAATGGTGAAATATTGTAAGGTATAATGACAAAAGTGATGGAAAGAAAAAGAATCGAAATGAAATCGGCTAGATTAAAAAACTAAAAAACAAACTAACATTAAAATTCCCAGCATCCCTCGTTCGTGCGCATGTGTAGTCGCACCAACATAACATATTTAGTCTGATTAAGTCCTATAGGACGAAACGCGTCACAAGAAAATTTTTCCCACTTTGTTCTAGATTTTTCTCCAATTATATATAAATATATTGCTGGTATTTTTACTATAGAAGTGTATTTTTATACTTTCATAGTGTTTTGTTTTTGCTTGGTGTGGGTCACTATTTATCCATAGCTGAGACCCTAACAGGTCCTACCACTCATTGCTGCCATATTTAGTATACACATAGGAGATATAAGATTAAACATGCCATGAATCTATCTTTTTACATATCTCGGTACTCTTTGTTTACAAGGGCCAGATCAGACCCCAAATAGAATATCACTACCATGTCTGGGTTGAAGCTGTCCAGTCCTCTCGTTTCAGCCTTGACAGGTTTCAGAAGATTTTCTTGTAGGTAATTATCTCCCACCTTACATCCCACAGACGAAACGTTGCAAACTTCCCGCTATGTCGCTATTTCCATGGAAAATGTTCTACCGAGTTACATTCACTAATTACACGAGTTCAGACTTTTACAACTAAGACCTGACATGCCATATATACACAGGGGCGATTTATCCTTTCGTATTCCACTAGTGAGAACGGACTTTCATTCGGACAGCTTCTTCCCAAGAGCCGTTGCTTTGTGACTCTTGATAGGATGCTTGCCTGACCTATACAATCTTAACCTTGAAGATCTAGGTTCAACTCTTTTCTATCCGGCATATTCTCATAATGTACAATTCTTACCGCCTCTTCTTATATCCATTAAACAAACTCATTCAGTAATCTTCTAACATGAGCGGCTCTTGGGCCTTTTATTAGGTTTTATTAGCGTAAAAATATATCTAAATCTGTATATAGTAGTATTAATGATGAAAAACTGTGTAAAATTTTGTCTACTTTTTATATCCCTCGATGACACTTTTTGTTTTAATGTCAGCACGTACACACACATATATATATATATATATATATATATATATATATATATATATATATATATAAATACAGAGAGAGAGAGAGAGAGAGAGAGAGAGAGAGAGAGGGGGGGGGACAGTGAGAAATGGTGAGGGAAAAGCAGAAAAAGACAGTAGGAGGAGAAAAGAGCGTGGGTGATAGGAGTGATAGTGTGAGGAGTGGTACAGCCAGGAGACGTCAAATGAGACGGAAACAACTTCAATAGCGATATTGTTGGCTTGTTGTTCCTACCAAGTCTTATGAGTGTCTGATAATTTTCTATTATTAGCTGCTGCCTGTTCACTGTCATACCATCCCATACCAAAATTACCCACCATTCTATGCCCGACCCCAACATGTCTGTAGTGTTGTTGTTAAAAAAAAATATCCCCACTGACCTTGTTTTTACAACATGAATATAAACAAGTTGAGGACTTCGCCCACTGAAAACTAAGTACAATTTTGGGAGGGAAAATGATAAGGATAAAAAAAAAAGTAGCTATAACTTATTTAATAATGTAAATTCTTTCATCAGCGATATATATATATATATATATATATATATATATATATATATATATATATATATATATATATATATATATCCAGGTAAGATGAGAACAAATGAAGTATAATTTCACTGTCCGTAACATTTAATTTAAAAGATTAGAGCTAAATATTATTTATAATAGGAGATTATAAACATTATTAAAACAAGAACATGTTAAAAATCGCTACACAATAGCAATCGTGTTTCAACACTACAAATGTGTTCCCTCGCCGCGAGAAGACACATTTATAGTGTTGAAATATGATTGCTATTGTGTAGCGATTTTTAACATGTTCTTGTTTTAATCTCCTATACTATATGTGTGTGTGTGTGTGTGTGTGTGTGTATCAATGTGTGTGTGTATGTGGGGGTATATATAATAGTATCCGAAACATAAGCGAAGATGATGAGACAAAGTTGAATTTTTTTTTAATTAAAGACGCGTTTCTCCGGATCAGCGTATGCTCTCTTTGGCTTCAGTTTAATAAACTGAAGAACAAACTGTGTGTGACGAAAATGTCTTGTCATCTTTGAGGATAAGTGTGTATCTGTTGAGATGTGGCTTCTGGCAAGATAACAACACTTAACTTGATAGAGTCAGTCATGATAGTAGTACTCATTACTCAGCTAGACAAGTCACTGCAATAGTATTATCTTCTTTTTCTTTCTAGTCAATTACCCAGGACTACTTATCATGAATGGATCAATCCACTGATGATAGTAAGGAGTGTAACTGGCTTTTACCACAACAGTATCATAAATCAAATTAATTACTCTACTTTATCAGGTCCAAATTTAAAAAAAAATGAAATCCCTCATTTAAAATCCAACAGCTCTAATGCAGACATAGATGAAACAAACAAGCACACAGGCTGATAGGCACTCTCCGAGTCTGGAAATTGCGTGTGGAGAAAAAGTAATCCAGCCCTTGAAAATGAACAAAGTATTATCCGATAGCGTACCGGAAAACCAACACTTTGGACAATTGCTCCATACACTAAGTCTTCAAAAAGAAAAAAAAAACGAAAATTAAATAAAAAAAATCATATTCCTTGTCTGTCATTTTTAATGAAACATGCATAAAAGAACGATTGTTGCCTAAATAAACTATATATACATATATTGGGTTGGTGCAAATTATCAGGCGTTTTTTGAACAAAAAAAGACACATCAACAAAAACATTTTGATTATTCCGGAACATATGATTATCGACACGCATTTTTAGAAACTGAGAATAAAATATTTTTATTAAAAAAAGTAAGCAAAACAACAATTTTTATTAACAAATAACTCGCCTACAAAAACGCCTGATAATTATGCACCAACCCAATAGCATATTTAGATATATGCCTAAATATACTATATATACATAGTATATTTAAATATAGGCCTAAATATACAATAGCTACATATAGTATATTTAGGTAGCAATCTTTCTTTATAGCAGACCCGGGTTCGAATTGATTGGTTTCTCAGGAAAGTTACTTCTTCATGTTATCGGTTTAGAGGAAGCGATTCCAGCGTGTGGCACCTTTGAAAACTGCGCGAAAACCATACCACGCTTTGTGAGTAAAATTGTGAATGAAAGTCGTCGATGTTTGTTTAAGATCGAAGTCATTGTGATCAAGGGATTGAGCTTATGGGCGTTGTTCAAACTGATGATCATGCCACATTATGTAAAACTGCAACATATAGTTACAGTGTAAAACTATAGGTGAGACCTCTGGGTATGGAAGAAGCACAAATGTACCTCAGCAGGTGTCTGTAACAGGTATTGGCTTAAACACACGCACACAGATACACACATACAGATACACACACACACACACACACACACATATATATATATATATTTTAATAAAGGGCCGTGGAGATGTTTCCTGTCTCGTCACTTTTTTTGTGTGTATATATCTAAATATGTCTGGGTGCTTATGTATGATAATCTGAGTGTGTTTGTATTGTTTTACGCGAGTGGTTAGCATCCCACTCACACACTTGGGATTAAAATGTATACATTTTGTCGGGAAGACCAGCTGATATTAGCGTTATTCTAACGTAATTTCAATGAAGAAATAAATTGAATAACATATGTATTTTTTCTTTTCTCCTCAGTAATTTTTTAATTTTAAACTTAATAGAGATTAAATTTAGATTTTAAAATAGGTAATTTTTTACTTTTAATTCTAATATCAAATTTTATCATATAATTTAATACTTATTGGTTAGAATAAATTCTATTTTAGTATAACCCCAACTTTAAAGCTCTTAATAGCTATTATAACCTTATTTCGTTATCAAGTTTTTTGAATTCTCCTATACTTGTGTTTTGATTGGTCATTCTAGCTTTTGTAACAGCATTTTCCCCTTGTGAAGGATCGTTAATTATTTTACATTCAACATCATCACTTGATAAGACACCGGAGGTCTTGAAACAAAATGGCTATATTTGTAGTGAATTTATAACATATTTATATTATAATTTTTAAATAAATAATTATATATATATATATATATATATATATATATATATATATATATATATAAAATTATTTCTCTCTTTAAAGCCTTTTTCTGGGGCTTTTTCAGGTTAGTTTATCAATTTTATTCGTTTTTAATTTTACAAATTAAATTGGTTAAGACGATTTTTACATTTTAATCGTTCGCTAGTTTTGTTCACCCATTTTGTTCACCCATTTAGTCCCTTAAATTGTATTTCGTTGTTCTTGTTGAAGAATAATAATTATTTCGTCAAAGATATTTTCTCTGAAGAAGGATTGGCTGAAAAGTTCCTAAGATATATTCCTACCCGCTTTTTTCGTATTAAGATGTTTACATCAATTCTATTTAAGGCAGTAATATATATATATATATATATATATATATATATATATATATATGTACACACACACACACACACACACACACACACACACATATGTTTGTTCACCCTGTACAAGGCCAGGGGCCACTCGATGTAGAGGCTTACAGATTAAGAGGCCCAGCTTTTGCGGATATGTATGAAAGATAACGATTAACCCTAGAGATTGTAGTGATCAAGGAGGCAGCCTCTTGGGAGCCGGTTCTACAAGCCAGTGTTTCAAGAGAAGAAGCTGCTTGAGTAGAACTTACATCTTACTAGGTGAATATAAAGGGGATGAGGGTGGTTCGCCACAATCTGCGTTAGGTTCCAGGAGAAAGCTGTCAAACATAATATAAAAAATTAGGAATAAAATCTTCCGACTGTAGAAAACAGATTGTGAGGTATAAAAATAGAAATTTTCAACTACACACTCTTAGTTTGAGTAAAATACACCAACAACTACACACTAACTTGTATTTCCTTTTCACCTGTAAACTGGGAAATGATATTTATTAAAATATACGAACTTTCTCTATATCAAACATATGTTTATTTCTGTAAACGTTACAAATAATAAGACTATTTATTATGAAAAGATGCATCTACTAATATACTAATGTAATATACTAAAAGATGCATCTATTAGAATAAACTTACACTTTTACATACAGAAACAATGTCGTAAAAATGTAGATAAAATGTAGTTTTAAATTTGACCGTAATTAATGAAAGTTCATTTGATAGAATAATCGCGGCCATGATGAATTTATGACGGCAGCAGATTTTAAGAAGAGTGAATCCTGCGTTTTCCTTCAATTAATACTGATGGTGGTCAGTACATTTTCGAAATGGAAAAAGAAAAAAAAAGAAAAAAAAAGAAAGATAAGTTATACTTCTTCTTTATGTGCCGTGTCCCCTCAGGACATAGGCGATCATGACTCTCCACAATTTCCTGTCTCTTTTAGCTCTTAATAAATTTTGTCTTTTCGTTGTTTCTCCTAAACCCTGTTCCACCATCCATTTGTATGTATGTATAGCTGGCCACTGATATTCAAGGATACCTGTCTACTAGGGCGGTTAACCAATCCCTACTGCAGACGCTTGCTCAGGCGCATTTGTGTTTATTCAACACCCACAGAGCCCACCTGCAACTATACTGAGCAGACCTTAGTTACAGTTTCTGGGAAAGAGCGTGTTATCTAGCTTGATCAACAATTGGAACAAAGCCAGCACGCTCAATCCCTCGGCCACGATGACTTGTGACTTCGTGCTAGTACAACTATTGACAGCCCCTAAGTGTTCAGGCTACCCAATTTCACTCACGAGGCTTTTATCAACCCGTAGTATGGTTTTCAGGCACTTTTCAAAGGTGTCGGACGCAATAACATCAGGAAACCTCCTTCCTGACAAATTGACCCGGGTGAAATTCGAACCCGTGTCCCATGGTCAGAATGTGAACGTTTTAACCACTCGGCCATGTGCCAATATACGTGCCATTCATTTACTCAAGCTCATTATGCGTCATTTTCCTCCGCTCTGCCCACAAATCTATTCTGTGACTCTGAAATTTTTCAAGTTCTCTTTCCTCTTTATGTGCCCCAGAAATTTCAACTGCCTCTTCCTGATGTTAAGTATAAGTTTCCTTTCTCTCTAAAACCACGTCGTTGCTCAAATGTTCGGTCCAATGTATCCTCAACATCCTTCTGTAGAACCATATTTCTGTTGCCACAAGTCTCTTCTTTATCTCTGAGGAGATTGTCCAGCATACACTGCCATATAGGAGAACAGATATCACATAACAGTTCAGTACTCTTTTCTTTGTTTCTAATGAAATTTTTCTGTCTCTTAATACGCTGCTTAACTTTTGACCATCACAATGAATCTTCTTCCCAGATATTTAAATTTTTGTACTTGTTTGATTTACGTATCTTTGATTTGTAATTTGCATTTTGGGATCATCTGTTTTCTTGCAGGTGATGTGTTGTCATTTCTTCTCGTTTTCTTTCTCTACCTTCTATAGGAGTTCTTGTAGCTTTCTTTTTGCGGAAAGCAAGGTATACTAAGTTAGTTTTAAAAATTATGGGAAGGTTGAAGATCACATCGACAGAGATACTCTTATAAGAACAATTAATAATGCTATTACTTTGTTTGAAACATCAGAGCTTGTGTGTCTGTGTATGTATGTATGTATATATATGTGTGTGTGTGGAGAGAGATGTGTATCTACGAGTGTGTAGGCGTGTATGTGTAGATGTGCGTGTGTAGATGTGAGTGTCTACGTGTAGATGTGTGATGTAGAGATATTTGTATATGTACAGTGTGTGTACGCGTGAATGTGTAGATGTGTGTGTGTATAGATGTGTACGTAGATGTGTGTGTGTGTCGAGATATGTGTCGAGATATGTGTATATGTGTGTGCGTATAGATGTATGTGTTTGTGCAAAGAAGTGTATGTTTGTGTAGAAATGCGTATGTCTCTGCGTGTATGTGTGTGTAGATGTGTGTGTGTTTGTGTAGATGTTTGTGTGTAGATACTTGTGCGCGCGTGTGTGTGTGTCTGCGTATGTTTGTGTGAGTTTGCGCGCGTGTGTGCTTATGTGTACTTGTGCGTGTGTGTGTGTGTGCGTGCCTACGAAGGAGGATCAATAAGTCCATAGTCTGAAGCGTAGTTATTAATCGAATTTTGATTTGAAAATTTCACTGTCTACAATCTGAACAATTTCTTTTCCATTCCGCACTGAATTAAGTGCATCGCGAAGAGAGAAAATTAGGAGGAAAAATAAATATTTGCCATATAAAATAAATGTTGATTTTTCTTTATCATGTGGCTACGGACTTACTGATGCACCTACGCAGAGACGCATATGCCTGTGTGTACGTGTGTGCGTAGACCAAATTATCCTTTCTCTTTTTAACCAGGTTTTGAAAGTGGGAAAGTCTCGATGCACATTGTGTCTGTGTGCGCGTCTCATTGACTTCCTTCACTCCCTGTTATGTTATAATTGATTTTTTTTTTACTATTTCTTTCTTCAATGAATGGAATTCTGTATCTGCTTTGTGTGCGCATGCGCACGCGCGTGCTTTGGTTTCCTTTGTTAAAGTCTGTTCTCAATTTCAGTAGCTCGTTGATCACAACGTGTGTGGATCTTTAAGAATTGAATGCGCAATGCAACTGGATAAAAAAAATAATAGACGTATGATGAGAGGTAGTCAAAGAAGTTGTGGAAGAGATAGATAGATAGATAGATAGATAGATAGATAGATAGATATAAACAAACGGATAGATAGATAGATATGATCAGACTAATAGATATGATCAAACTGACAGATAAATGTGAACAAGGTGATATAGATAGATAGATAGATAGATAGATAGATAGATAGATAGATATGATCAAAATGATATATATGATCAGATAGATAGATAGATAGATAGATAGATAACAATAACACAGACTCGATTAAAAAGGTTAACTGGGGTATTTATCAAAGATAACGCTTTTAAGGTAAGTAGTCTTTGTAATTAAAGCGCTCAATATCAAGAACTAGAGCCTTAATAAAAAATATTACGTTGTTTGGAAAATAATGTCCAATTGTAAAATAAACCTTTTATTTGTGTTCCAATATATTATAATAATTGCACAAAAATATATTACGCATTAATAATGATTAAAATGTCCTCTTTGTCAACTTTATATCAATCTCTTTCAGACATTCTTAAAGCATCGTCATCTTGAACATGAAAAAAGAAGAGATACGTTTACTTCTTTTGGATGCATTCAAGTTTAGTAATAAGGCTTTTAAAACTGCTAATATTAACAGGTGATCGGATAGTACCGCATTAGTTAATGAAGTTCCGCAGTGAGGATACGACTCTTGAAGTGGTAGAGAACATCCATCTACAATTGACAATCAACATTTGAAAACGCTAGCTGAACAAAACCCACGTCATAGTGTCAGAAAAATGTCTCAGATAATGGGTTTTTAGTATTTCAATAATATCGGACCTTCTCAAGAAAATTTGCAAGGTGAAGAAACTCGATAAATGAACTGAGTAAAAATCAAAGAGTTCGATGTTTTGAAGTGGGTTCGATGCTGCATCTGCGAAATTCTTGATCGAATTGTGATGAGAAATGAATCCTTTATGACAGTCATAAACGATCGGCTCAATCGATTGATCCTGACGAAGGATCCAAAAAACGTCCCCAAACTGAAACTGCACCAACAGAAGACTAAGGTGACTTGTCAGCCATTGACGTTATCCATTCCAGCTTTCTGAAATCTAACTAGAGCATCATTGCTTACTGCAAACAACTGGATGAAATGCACATTCAGTTAAGCAAAATGCGATTGGCACTGGTCAATAGATGACGCTTCCTGACATTACCATATGGCTACATGTTACCAGGATGACACTTCAAGAGGAATTTGTGAGCTCAGTTCAAATTTCAAATTCTTGATTATTCTGTTGTATTCAGTTTCGCAGAAATGCCATAAGCTTTAATCCGTTTCTAGTCACTTCAATTAGGGGTTAAATAGCACAATAGAATGGGGTCGCTAACCTTGAGTAGTAACCATCCTAAGAAAAGGAAACATTTCTATTTAAAACCGTGAAGAAGACAACAGAAAACCTCTTCATTATCTTTCCAAGAAGTCAAAGCAATGAGGAAGAGGGACCTGTGGAGAGCCGTGATCGCCTCAGTTTTCAACACTAAAAAAAGAAATTAGGATAGAAGTGAGCGTAAATGGAAATAAAGTCGCATAAAAAGTCACGATTTTGACGAGAAACAAAAGTTACATATATGGCCGCTCGTGTTCGCGCATTCCTGGCTGCTAGAGTAACTAGCTGATCCCTATTGCAGACGCCTTCTCAGGCACATTTGTGTTTGTTGTGTGCTGAGAGTGTACTGAACAAAATCTACGAAGGATAAATAACAATGATGAGGATTATAGTCAGAATAATAATGACAGAACTTCATTTCAGGATTATAAATAATTCAAGAGCCCAATGAACGGCTGGACCAAAATATAGTGATAAAAACAACAATAATGAGGATGCTAGTTCAGATAATTCACAGATTACAATTTTTAAAAAAGTTACTTTTATAGTTTTTGTGTTAAATTTATCTAATAGACAATATTAATTAATTTTGATTTTAAGTAAATTATTTTTTTATCAGTATACTATGTTGAATCAAAAGTTTTTCGTTTTTCAAGCTTTAATGAATAATTCAAACAAATTAAATACGAAAAGCATTTATTTACTAAAATATCTTATTCCATTGTCTGTTACCATCGTTGTACCAGAAGCTCAATTCCACGCTTATAGCATTTGCCTGGTTTAGAGGCAAAAAAACTCCCAGCACTCATTTTCAACCTTATCGACATTGTTGAACCCCTGTCCGCACAGGAAATGATCCATGGCTCGGAAAAGTTGGAAATCTGATGGTGCAAGATCTGAACTGTAGGCAGGTTGGGGCAGCCCCTCATGTTTGCACTTGTCCCATTGGCAGTGTGTGCTGGGGTATTATCATGCTGTAGGAGTTCTAGTCTTTGACCATCACTGAGTAGCGGGCTTTGAGACCCTCATATACTCACTGCAGTTGTTGAGCACAAAGATTTACGTTCACAGTATGAAGCTTAAGCAAACCAAATCGCCCTTGTTTGACAACAGTTTTGGATGTCTGACCGGAACGAAGCCACTGATTTCTTTTTTTAGGGTTATGAAAATAGATCCATTTATCCTTCCCAGTTACAATTCGACGCTAAAAACGGGAATCTTGAAGATTTTCCAATACTTGTTTGTAAATGTCCACATGTCGTTGAGCCTGGTCATTGGTCAGTTCATGGGAAACTTCTCGACAACGTCTGTTCACAAGGCCGCGCTTATATTGATTTTGTTGATTTGTTTAATGGCATATCAACTCCTTAGGAAGAGGGGCTTGGAATACAATTCTGTAAAATCTACTTGGTAAAGATGAACGGTCTACAAAATGAAATCCCGATTGAACAGAGTCCTTCACGTCTGGCCTACAGATAAAATGACTGAAGCTACAGATAAGCGTAGGCCAGTCATTTGCGATTTTAACAATCAAGGCAAATTAGGACTGAGGGAAATAAATATGAAAAATAATTAATTTAATTAATATATTTTGCTAACGTGCCGCACATATGTCAGAAATTATTCCATACAAAGAAATTTAAGTACACATAAGAAGGCTAAGCAATGAGCGGAAAAGACAAGTAAAAAGAAAGTTGTATTTCTAACGTCCCCAATAAGTACAGACCGAGATTTATCTTAAGAAGCCCCCACTGAGTCAGATAACGTGGGGAACCGAGTATTTCCACTCCCCAGGAGACGGTACAGACCTGTTCGGTTCCTCTTTAGAAAGCATCGGACTTGCATCGTCCTCCGCTCGTGGGGAAACCATGTAACAACTAACTATTGTTGCAAAAGAACCATCAGGGAACTATGAAGTCGTCTTTAAAACAAAAGGGAGTTAAGTATGTTGTAATGTGCCTGTTACTTAGTTGAATTCAGCCACTCTTAGAGTAAGTCCACCTGCAGATTTACTACTGTGTTTTCACCGACGACCATTAAATACGGCTTTTGCTGTTTCCCTTAGTTCCGCGTTCAGTTCTCACATTTATACACGTGCGGGCGAATTCACCTCGTCACTCGGGGTATAATAAATTGCTTTACAGTTAACGAACCTTACATATAAGGAAGAAGTACCTTTTGTATTTTGAGATAGGGTATATTGGTTCGGTTTTATTTATACCTTATAACTCGTATTACAAAAGGACGTATTTTTTTTTTTATTAATTATAACTCGACCCTATCAGGCAGCATTTAAGCTGTCTCCTGTGAAGGGCTCCTGCTTGGGCATTCATCACAGTAGGTAGGGAGGAATAGATGCAACAGGCAACGATAAACTACTGAAGAACACAAAATTGATCGCTGCATTTAAGTATTGCATTCATTTTTAAGCTTACCTTTTTAAAAGTTCAACGATAATTCTTCTGCAGCCACTTAATTTAAAGACAATTTGATGTATGTAGATCCTTACTTTCCATACAAAAATTACTTTTATTTCATAGTTGACTTTCATTGGATCTTGCAATTAATTTCGATTTTTCCTAAATTTATTTTCAAGTTATAAAAATTGTTATCGTACAAAAACATTCGTCGCAAGAAATCGCCGAAAAAATTCGTTTTAATGAGAACTTGGTAATCCAGAATTTCAGGATTGCGAGCCTGGATCCGACCCGGAATGTTTTTAATTTGCTCACGGATTCGGCTTGATTCCAAAAATGGTATGATATGTTGGGCTACATCCTCTAGGAGTAAAGTTGAAAAAGTGTGACGCAGTGACACTGGAAAGCAATGGGAAACTATTTCACTATTTTTCCAAGAAGTCATCGTAATTTACAGATAATAAAAATAAAAATAAAAGGAATCTACGAAGAGCCCCGATCGCTTATGTTCTGAAAGTGAACGGCATTTTAAAAAGTCAGGCCAGAACTGAGCGTGAATGGAAATAAAGTCACAGAAAAACTAACGATTTTGACGAGGAATAAAAGTTACATTAATAAATGTATTCGCATGAACGCTTGTACCCAAGTATGCTTATCTACTATAGTGGCTGGTTAATTTATGCTGCAGGCAGGTACATTTGCCTTTGTTCAACACTCAGAGAATCAACCTGTAGTTCATACTGTAATTATTTTACGGCAGAAGTAAGCTGGGAAAGAACAATGAAATTTATACCTTAAACATGTATTGCAAATGACAGTTTTCCCTTTCTCTCACTTCTTAATTTAATTAAAAAATAAGAGTGGCATCAACTATCATAACCCCTGAAGCTATGTGTAAGCAAAGAAATGAGGCCGGGATTTGCAATAAGGGCCCGTAAAACATTAATCGGTTGTAAAAATATTATCGATACGCAAGTCCCGATCGAACCCAAAATTAAGATTTCCAAATTTATTTGACTTTTCATGCCAATTCTGGAACTGAGGTGAATAATTAATAACAGATTTTCATGACTGCTCAGTTGCTGAGAATTAATCATGGGTTTCTTGAATTATAGATAATTGGTAAGGTTTACTTAGTCAGGCATGTGGCGGGAGATTGATTAATTTGTTTTTTATGGCTTATCAACCCTTCGCAGATTATTTAAAGCCAGAAAATATATTTCGATTGTAAGAATTTTGTGTGGATAATAATGATTTATTGATAAAATTCATACTAATTAACCTATAGTTGGGAGGAGAAGTGGTGGATACATAGCTTTCCTACTTGCGCGTAAGTGAATATAACGAACCCGATAGGAAATGGAACTCGGCTCTCTGATTTCCAATTCCAATCCGTTATTCATTACACGACACGCACATCCAAACTCAAGCCACCTGGCATTCCCAAATAATCACCCATCTATGTATTGACCAGGCACGACGTTGCCTAACTCGGTTGATCGTACGAGAACTGGTGATTTAATGTAATATGATTGTAAGCCCTATGGAGTGAGTAGGTAGATTGCTTCTAACTTCTGAAGTGAACCGATGCAGCTTTCCTTGAAAATCAGCATTCGAAATACTAGGATTTTAGCAGGGATCGACCACCAAACCAACTGTACCAGATGTTTCTTGAATTATATTTGTGCTGAATAGTTTATTCTTCTTTTTATATTTTAGAAATAGTTTTTTTTTTTTTTAATAAACGCACAAACACATACACGTGCATGTTTGTGTGTGTGCGCGTGTGTGTACTCCATGACTTTTATAAACACAAATGACAGTTACCGTGATCTATGCAAGCAACAGCTGTTGGCTCGTGTCAGAGGAACTTAGGCCAAAGAAATAATGAAATCAGTCGCAGAATCTGTCATGTCGTGGATCCATTTACAAAGTGCTTTACAGGTGTCATCGGTAGTGTTTCTTGTCGTTAGCCGTTGTTTTACAATTTGGAGGGAAAAAAAGAATTCAAATGTTTTCATGCATATCACCTGAAGAAGGCCGGGGTGTATAACGGCCGATATTCGTGAATATCGCAATAAAGATGAGGAAAACAGTTCTTGTAGTGATAGAAAGTAAAAATTTCGTTCTTTAAAAAAAGAAAAAATAGAAAAAATAGAGAACCATTTTGATTTGTCATAAAGAAATAAAAAAAAAAAAGAAAATAATAAAAGCGGGCAAAATGTAGTTGAAGAAAGAGGGATTGTCAAATGAGTCAGCTATGAACCAATCAGAAAACAAGAGAAAATGTTATCAGCAAAGGAACTAGCAAGTCGATGAAATAATTTCGTTAGTTCACCATTGCATATTTTAACTGGACGCTTAAATCCACAGAGAGTCGAAAGAATTATTTCTTCCAACTGAATACATACACATTAACATTAAAATGACTCTTTCTCTATTATACGTATTCTAAAGGACTTAGACGTACAACATGCGATCTTTCTAATATGAACTCTTTAAATTTTCTATGTTTTAAGATATATAAAGTTTTATCTTTACATGCCAAATATATCTTTCTATTAATTATCTTTTCATTGCTTTGTAATAGGCTAAAAAATGGATAAGAACGTTATCCGAAGATAACCAACTGTAAACCCACAAAATGCCAAGAGCCACATTACATCCAAAATCTTATCCCACTAAAGTGTAAATCAATAATCATCAAACCCTAAATTATGTCCATATTCTGAATATTCGTTGCTAGAATTACATCACTATCAATTCAAGTCTTTTCTTCATCGATAAGGAAAGTGTCTGGTTTTCGCTTCCTTATAGGAAAAGAGACATCGCTCAACAATCCAACATTTTTCTAATGACTGTTTTTAGATCCTTTAGCAGAGGACGACACTGAAATCTGAAGACATTGAAATGATTAAAAAGATTAGGCTTTCAGTATGATTCTACCAATAACACAATAACGCGTGCGTAACGTACGCCATTACGGTTCCATCTGCCAATTATAAATCCAGGTAGGTCGTCTCGTCCTTGTAGAATCATCTCGCTGTACAGGTAAAATAAACACCCTGGGGAAACACGTATTTGCCGTATTCCTATTTCTATGTTTCTGCATTCACTTGTTTTCTAACGAGTGTGTGGATACAAATCAGTTTACGGCTTATTTACATATTTTTCCGTAGAAATCAAATTTGCCTAACATTTCAATTTCTTCGTATTGAACTTTATCAAAAACCTTTTTTTTTTAAATCCATGAATCACTTGTACAGAACTTTCTGCACTTCTGATAAAAAAAAATTGCATTTTTGTTTCAGTGTCTAGAATAAAGCACTATAACAATGCTGTGTTTTTGGTTTAATCCTTCTATGAAATCTATTTATTAGAATTCTAATTATTACTTTTGTTATGACATTGAATATAAAGGCTCCAAAATACACCATTTCAGGACGCTAGTGTAATAGATGCAGGAGTTAGTTAAACATGAGTTATAGTCATCCAGTTGTGAGTTCAATTCCTCGATAAGGTAGAGAAATACAGGTTTAACAATAACAATAACCAGCACCGTAGGGACAAAATAACAGAATATTCAACGGATATTCAATATCAGTGGCCACTTGATGATGGTCAGAATGTACTTCGTCGAAACGCTGTTACTAAAATAATATCGAGAGCATCAAGATGAGTTTGAAACGATTAAACTATATTAAGAAATGGTAAATTGAATTGTTGTAACCAATCCATTTTTTATCGACTGTTATCATTCTTTTAAAAAATGCGTCGTTTTGTTGGTTTTGAGCAAGGAACCCGAGATGGAAATTCAGTCCATTAAATATTTGTTTGCTAGAATATGACTTATTCCCTGAAAGCAGCCATTATTTCAGTAATGTCCAATATCATTACTGTTATGATCCAGGTTAGGACCAAGGAAGAACAACACGAACACAAGAGTAGAAATAACGAAGGTATATTACACGAAATAATAATACAAGATGTGGAAGGTGTTAGTATGACTGTCAGTCTGGTTTGGAGTGAACTACTATCGGCTCGACTCTCTCTCTTGAGAGGCGTGGTATACATAGTGTTAGGAAGAGTTTATTCCGTAGTTATAGGTAAGGACCCATGACAATTACAGACCATATGATACGTGCATGTTAGCGGTTCCAGTCCCGCATTGAAAACCTTATTGCGGCTGAAGGCGATTATATCGAGTAAATATGTAATCCAATTTTTTTTCTCTCCGGAATTCATCTTGCATATCTATAAGTCTACCATACCTCCATGCTTAGTATATTGCTGCCATATATGGTCCAATGCCCCTGTTATTTACCTTGAGCTCCTTGATAAGATCCAAAGAAGAATCAGCAATATTATTGATCCTGATCTGGCTGCTCGGCTTCAGTCACTTGCCCACCGCCGTAAGGTTGCCTCTCTGTACCTTTTAAAAAAAAAAACCTAC